ACACATAAAAATTCGATGGTGCAACAGGTTTATTTATTCTGACATTCACGGCACCTTTTATAACTTGGCGATTATTCGTAATCACTCCTGCGCCACGTGGCAGCTCTTTTTTGCAATAGTATTGCCTTGTGACCCTTATATCACTAAAACCCTGTTTTCAACATTAGTTAGGCCAACTCTGGAATACGGTTCGGTGGTTTGGAATCCAAGGTATCAAAATTACTCAGACAAGACAGAATCAATTCAAAAACAATTCCTACTTTTTGCTTTAAGAAATTTCCGTTGGGATTCTCAATATAACCTCCCACCTTATACGAGCCGATTAAAACTTATTAATCTTCCTACACTTTCCAGCCGCAGGCAAATGCTTGGTCCAATTTTCCGCTTCTTCTGGGCGAAGTTAGCCTTAATGTTCCCTCCCGGGTATCAAGAAACTTTAGTCCCCTATTTCTGAAAGCTTGTAAAACTAATTTTGAATTGCATGACCCACTCCGTTGCTTATGCCAGGATTTTAACTCTCATTCCAGTACGTTTGATATATCAGATCCGCTTTTCAGCATTAATAAATCGATACTGTCTTCTCTCAATAAATGAATCATTAAAATAAAGACATAAAATCGGCTGATGAATTTAGTTCTGTGGCTGAACAGTTTTAGATCTCGACACTTAACAAACTCCTGCCAATCGTGACTCGGCGCAAAAATTTAAAATAAATACTGGTTCCGTACGTCATGCGGACTGCGCCCCTCGTGCGGATGGGCGGGAATGGTGGGTAAAAACCGTTGGGATTATTATTATTATTTACCGTTACCAATACATATTTTGAATATTGGCCAAAGTGGATCATCAATAAGATTTTTAGTAATAACTTAACTCCAGTGCCAACTGGCGGGTGAATTTGTGAATCTACACTATCCAGAGAGTTACACAAAAACACAAAAAAAAATTCGTTCAAAATGCGTCCGAGCATTTAGGAGGATTTCACTCACCAACACACCTACAGATGAATTATATATACGTTTGTACGGCGACACGCCCTCTTTTCAAATAGCCCGATTTTCTCCATGAGTATAAGATTGATTTCACATAAAGCCTATAATAATCCTTGGGCGTCTGAATCAGGTGTCGGAAATTAAAAAAAATTCGGTTCGGCAGTTCTCGAGCTTTTCGAACACAAAAAACGGTTTTCAAAGTATATATTGGTATGAATCGAAATGGTTTTAAATATGTGTCACACAAGAGTGTTAGACGAAAGAGGTTTAAAAAGGTGCCAACTATTTAAAAGGAAAGGAATTAATACAATATCAATCAAAATGATTTTAAATGGCTTAATTTCAAAACTACATGTAAAGGGTTTCCATCTGTTTAAAATCTCAATTGAGTTGAAAAAGTATGAAAAATTAGAAGTTTAAGAAAGTTTTAGTTTGAAAATATTTTGAGGATGGTTGAACAAATTTTAAACCTCCTGTTTTTGAATTGAGTTTTCTTGAAATAAATTTTATTCAATGTAGCACGCAAAAATTTCATACACTCAGCGAAGCGGGTGAGGGCGATCTAGTAAAATAATATTTGTGTAACCCTTTTCTATTTAAAGGGTCACTCTAATAAACCATCGATATTATCGATGGTTGTCTATAAAACTATCGAAAACCATAGATGGTGCCGCTAAAAGCACTACTAAAATTCCACATCAAAAAAATGCATGCAAAAAAAATGTTTGCGTTCATTTATTTTTAAGATATACAAAAACGACAGTCTGGCAAGCCTTATTCTCTCACCGCTACCAATTTCCATAAGGCCGTGACTTAAGAACCTAAAATGTACAGGTTCTTAAGTTTCTTACAGTAAGTTAAGTTTTAACTAACCGCCAACACAGTTTCTCATATAACAGGTTGGCCAAAATATTAAGTTAAATTAAGTTACGGAAATTAAGTCCAGACTAACTGAGCTGATAAAATGTAGGTAATACCCCGGGTAAATTTCGAATTAACGAGTTGATCCGGATCAACGCTGCCGTTTGTTTATACTTATGTATTCTGGCTACGATGAGAATGGCAACTAAGCAATTGTCATTTCACATACATTTTGTCGTCTGTTGTTCAACGACATGGTATAAAACAGCCATACCCAGCGCTGGCAGAACTCCATAACCAAGTGCAAAAAACTTTTCCACCGCTGAGAATGCCTTTATAAAACGATAAGAGTTATTGTTATTTATGGCCTTATAACAATTCTTTTCAACAAGTCTATTGAGCTTGAGGCCCTTTATAATGAAAAAATTGTGTTGAAACCAGCGATAATTCACAAAAAGGTAGAAGGTATAGCTGCTATTTCGCAGATCACCACATTTCCTCATCAGACTTTTACAACCACCGTCACTGGAATATGAACCAGCGACCTCGGATTACAAAGACAAAGGTCTACCCACTTTTTGCACTTTTTCATGTATTAACCCAACTACAATCAAGCGAAGCTATAGTTTTAAAGAGTATGCAAAAGGACCAGGTTGCATACTAGTAACTTGTTATGCTGACCTGGACCACTTCAAGCGCAAAAATCTGATATACATATGTGTTTAACACCAGAAAATGCATTTTAAACAAGATATTTTGCTATTTAAATATAAAATTACATTTAAAAATTATCAAATATTCGTTTTATAAAAAATCTTATGAAATTAAGTTTATGGTCCAAAAGGAGTAGTTGTCTAGGTGGTCCCATGTTATGCAGCGGTGGACCAGAAGTGGGCCCATGTAATGCAGCGTTGGACCAGAGGTGGTCAGGTCCAATGACATCGCAATGTTAATGAAACGTATTTTCTCCATATGTCTGAACCATTTTGGTTACTAGTGTTGGTTACAATGAATCGTGGTCCTGTGCTAGTAAATAACCTAGTCCCACTTTTTGCAGGGTATTTACACTTGATCATGTGGTTGATGTTTTAGTTGCTTTTTGCTAATATTTTATTTTTACACTTGATCATGTGGTTGTTTGTTTTGTTGGTTTTTATACCCGAGCCCACTTGTGCACAAGGGTATATTAATTTTGTTCACATAACGGTTGTTTGTAACAGCCAAAACGAATCGAGATAGATATAGACAAATGTATACATAAATGATCAGAATGAAAAGAGAAATCGATTAAGCGGTGACTGTCTGTCCGTCCGTCCGTCTGTCCGTCCGTCCGTCTGTGCACACGATAACTCGAGTAAAAATTGAGATATCTTAACGAAACTTGGTACGTGCACTTCTTTCGGGCGTAGGACGGATGGTATTGAAAATGGGCAAAATCGGACAATAACCACGCCTACTTCCCATATAACGGTAATTTTCAGAAATACGAAAACTGCGATATTTTAGTAACTACTGAAGATAATTCACTCAAAATTGATATTTACAATAATTTTTAGACGAAAAATAAGAATATTATAAATTTTTGGAAAATGGGCGTAGCCACGCCCACTTATGGTTACATGTGTATATCTTGGTAACCGCTGCACCAATTTCTTCCAAACTTGGCACAGTTGTTGGCCTTCGCATAACATACCAAATGGCCGAAAATTTTTAAAATCGCTCAATAACCACGCCTACTTCCCATATAACGGTAATTTTCAGAAATACGAAAACTGCGATATTTTAGTAACTACTCGAGATTATTCACTCAAAATTTATATTTATAATAAGCTTTAGACGAAAAATAAGAATATTATAAATTTTTGGAAAATGGGCGTAGCCACGCCCACTTATGGTTACATGTGTATTACTTGGTAACCGCTTCACCAATTTCTTCAAAACTTGGCGCAGTTGTTGGCCTGGGTACAGCATACTAAATGGCTGAAAATTTCAAATATCGGACAATAACCACGCCTACATCCCATATAACGGTAATTTAGAGAAATACAAAATCTTCGATAAATCAGAAAATATTAAAGCTAATTTATTCAAAATTGATGCTTGCAACAATTCTTTACCAAGAAATACGTTTATGGTAAAATTTTGAAAAATGGGAGTGGCACCGCCCGCTTATGATCACATATATGTATATCGGTAACCGTTATACTAATTTGTACCAATCTCGGTACTTTTATTGTCCTTGCCACATAAAAGCAAAACGTTGAAAATTATTGAAATCGGACTAAAATTACGGCCGCTTTTCATATAACGGTAAATTTCAGAAATGCTTGAAACTGGAATATTTCGAAATTTAAGGACGCTAATTTACTCAAAATTTATACACCCCGTCTTACCATCTATCGGTAGCGGAAAGGTGAAAAAACATATATTTTATACTTGCGCCGGGTATTTAATGTTCGGCTCCGCCCGAACTTAGACTTTCTTACTTGTTGTTAATATTTTCTATTATTAGAATGTTTAACTGTTAGGTGTGCTCGTCCTTAAGTTATTTGTTTTTGTTATTTATAGCCTTATAACAATTACATTCAAAAATTTTATTGAGCTTGAGGCCGTTTATAATGAATTGTGTAGAAAACAACAATAGTTTACATCAATGTTTAGTGGACGGTGTTATAAGCAGAACGTATTTGTATAAGTAAAGTTATAACATGGGTCTTCACACCTGCTAATTGGTACTTGGTAAACTGATATTTGGTACTCGGTAATTTTATCAACTGTGAACGTCCTTTTCAGCTTTTTTTTGTTACTCTGGTAAACCATGTTTATCAACAGCTGATTCGTAGCTTTTTAAAAAAATAAATACATTGTAACAGAAAAGTCAAGGAATTTTACTTACTCATAAATATGCCTTATGTCTTTCGGCAGCGGGCGGATCTAAAATTGGATAATTATCGAACAGCTGATTGCAGTTTACCAACTCCCAGAAACATTTTCAAGCTTCCACCACGATAACTCGGTGACCGGTAAACCGATAGTAAAATAACTTTACACAAACAAAATACATGCGGAAAAATTATCGAACGCCGAATTACCGAGTACCACGCTCGGTGTGAAGACCCTAAATGTGTTAAGGCTAAATGTACTCACTGGTATTTTAAACATGGTGTCGACATCAAAATAATCACTTTTATGGTCCATTGTAACAGAATAAGGCGCAGCACCCAAATTGCGAACAGTGCGAGTTGAAATCAAGAACATAATAGATACAAACGTAACAGCGGATATTATAACTAGTGAGTCAGCACTGGTTAGCCAATCGCAAAGAATCCACGAGCCTCGCCACATATTAACACATACTATACCAAATAAAGCTGTATAACTGCGCGATATTACGTAATAGGTGAGACGGCGGTTATCCGGATTTATGTAATTTCGAAACATAGATTGCGTAACTGTAAAAAAAAAATGTCCCAAACCGCCGATCAGAAAAGACATCAGCGCAGAAAGCGGAATGCTTCGCGGGAACATCAATATACCCATTAGTTCCCAAGTTCCGCGCCAATAGGCAATTACGCAAGGAGCAACTATGACACATGATAGCACTGCATCCAGTATTTCGAGAAATAATTCATGTAGACTTTTAATGCTTTTATTTTGGTTGAAGTTACCGCTGTTATTATTATGTAGCGACTTCCTGTTTGTTGATGACGGCTCTTTTGTTTCATCACTTAACATTATTGAATAAAAGCGTCAAAGCACACAATACCCAAGGTCTTGCAGAAGAGTTGTCTTTAAATATTTACAGGTTTTCAGAATAGCATATGTTTTTCGGGGTATTCTATGTTATTTATTTGGGTGTTAATGAGATTCGCTGAAAGGCAAGTATTATAATTGCAATCCTCAAGAAATCACTCCAATATTCCATTTATGTATATCGTACTAAGAGAAATTATAAGTCGCAACATACCATATGTACCCTGCAAACCATTTTTTCAGAGTATTCTGAACTGTAGAGAAATTTTAAAGAACTCGTTAAGATCTCATCAGATTTTTTGCCGAATTTTCTAATATGAAATAAACTGTGCACACTTCGATTCTTTTATGAAATTTCGGAAGAAAATCGGGAAAGCAATGACAACAGTGCTGCGATAGGAGAAATTTCTTGTAGAATTTTTTCAGAATTTTCTTTATTTTTCGTACAGAAATTTCTTAACGAGCTCGCGTCAACAACTTCATACAATTTTCCTTCGTAAAAAAATCGTTACAGAAATGAGAAATTCCTAAAGATTTCGTTAAGATGGGAATTTTGGATTACAGGGTATGTATGTAGATATATACATATGTATGTATTTTAGGCATTTCCATCAATATTTTTTCTTTGCCCTTTTCTATACATACATATATGTATGCACCTTTATATTTGTATATCAATGTTTGTGGTTATTGTTGTGTATCAAACGTCCAGCGTTTATATTCCTCTCAGCTCACTAAATAATTGTAGTTACGGTGTTAGCGGCCAAGACGTTAAATATGAACTGTTTTCAAATCATCGTTATCTGAAGTGCAGACATCTGTAAGATCGTATAAATAAAAATAAGTCTGTCAACTAATTGTTTTATTATGCCTGATGATTGCTAGACACATAATCGCCGTAAGTGTTCGTGTATTTTATTTACTTTTTCAGCGCAAAACCCTATTATGAAGATATACAATTTTCATATGTGCATACATAAATATTGGTTTAAAATATGTGAACAAAACTTTTAATAAATATGTATGCACATGTTTTACAAAAATCTATTAGTGAAAAAATTACAATGGTTTCTTTAAAAAAATTAAATTTAGATGCCTCATGGATGCATAAGAATTTAGCACATATTTTATCACAACGACTGATGTTTGTTACTGCGGCATATATGTATGTATGTACCCTGCAGGGAAAGCTACCAGTTGTGAACTAGAGTGCTACCAGTTTGCGTTTAAGCCCAACTTGTAGTTCCTTTTTCAATGTTAGCGACTGGTATTTTTAATATGGCGGTGTCATAGGAGGTGTCAATTGTCCGCTCCTGCATCAGAACCATACCAGTAGAAATACTAGTAGCATCACTCCAGTTGACGGGATATTCAGCCAATTCATCCCCCGTGAAAAGCATAAGTATACCATTTTGTTCGCGGCTCTGCAACAGTGGCAATGGCCGACAGAGCAAAGCTCTGGCCAGTGATGCCAGATTGTGGGTAATTTCCCCATTTGAGGGATATTTTGCAACAAAAATTATTAAAAGGAAAAAACGGACATTTCAAATAAAAAAGGGATTTTCTTTTGACACAGTTATTGATGAATAATTGATCAAAATTCAAGAATATTCGACACTCTTACGTAATTAATCGTTCTGAAGATGTGATATGGAGTAATACTATGTACATATATGTATTAAAAATTATAAGGACAACTTGAAAAATTTTCTCACGTTAACCAAACCAAGCGCTGAGTAAAAGGAGTCTTTTCAATTGTAACTGGTGTTTCATGTAAAAATCGGAACAAATTATCTGATGAAATGTTAAATAGCACATGTATGTGCTTCAATTTTAAGTCACCAAAAATCATATTCGCTTACACAATGCTAATAATTTGTAACAATGATAGTTTGAAGAATTTCCAATAAGTAATAGAGCTGCAAAACTATCGATGGTGGCGCCATTCCATAGTTTCGATGGTTTGAAAAATACTATCGATATTTTCGATAGTATCGTATACTATCGTATTGTATATGTTCATATGTACATATATAGGCGAACTTCAACTCCAAACAAAATACATATCTACAATATATAATACATACACATGTAATGTACAACATAACGTAACAAAGCATTAGATTTAATTGACAATAGTCAAACTACATAACATAGACCTAAAATTTCTACAGAGAAAGTACAAATTTGAGATCGATGTTAAGCGGTCGTTATTCATATATCCACATATATACATATATTACCCTTCATATAAAGTCGGGCCTATTACATGCGCCCACGATTTTCATTTTCAATCTCATAAATTGTTTATAATGACTTTTGCTAAAATTTCAAAATCAAAAGTTATCAAACCAAATTCTATGGGACTGAGAATTATTATTTTCTAATTTTTAGTCCATTTATATTGGTTGTATATTAAAAGGTTTTTTTTTTCATATTAATTATTATCTACTTTTTAGTCTTGTCTGTATAAAACTTTACAATAGATAATCAAAAATTTCAACCATTTTAATAGATTTGGTGCACACACATGTATATATATATGTATTTACATACATACGAGCACCAATTAATTTCATTTAAAGAAATGGCGTGTCGTCCATTTCCGCTGTAGCACACGTAGTGCATAGGGCGACATCTACCTCTCAACCGACGAGGACTTTTTTGTAGGAACTTTGCAAAGCAAAGATTTTATAGTTAGAAATGGTATCTGGACACACAACATTGCAAGTTGATAAAAGCGTTGTAAAATGAGAATGTGTGCGTGAGTTTGATCTTTGAATTTTTAAGTTATGTTGATGGCAAACGTCAGACTGCCTCTCTTTGGTTTTACCTTGTTATGTTTTAATCATGGTTCAGAGTCGGCGTAAAACTTTAGATCCCTCCCCTTTGTGTGACAACATAAAGCGCACCCCACAAGTCGGAGGAGAAGCTCGGCCAAAGACTGACATATGTGTAAGCGCCAATCTGTTATTATTATTTTATATGAATGTTACTTCTTTTTTACTGAAATATGTATGTATATGTTTTGAATTCGTTGAGAATTTTGTGGGATCAATTTTTAAGATGTGGGTAATTGAGGGAGTTTTTCCCCGATTTTCGTGAGATTTTTAACAGAGAACTTCTGGCATCACTGGCTCTGGCTCTCCATTCCATTTTCATTTAATTTTTTTTATTGTATTTCAGTATTAGGTATTTTCCTAATGAAATTAAATTTACAATCATTAGTTTATATTTAAGTGGTTGAAATAATTGACTTACTTTACTTTATCACCACCATACGGACACGAACCTGAGATTCCGTTACCAGATTCGTTAGTCTTCACTCGCACCACAGCCGACAGTTGAGAGGAATGCAATTAACTGCAATTTAGTTTTGTTTTTGGCGATTCAAAGACAGATGTCGCTGATCGCAAAAGTTGTTCGAAATCGTCGAAATGGTAGGCCGTCCCTTTAGCACATACTAGTTAATGAACTGGTAGTTTTACTGGCTGGTTTGGCATTTCACAGCGGATAACTGGTATAATTATAGTTCATGACGAACTATGACTTTCCTATTGAATACCACTTGTTTACTTTTTTGTACGAGGAACTGGTAAAAGTACAGTTCATAACGAACTGATACGACTTCTATCCTTAAATAATAGTCCATGAACTGGAATTTGTGCTTACTTGTTCAGCTTTTCACTGCAGGGTACATACAGTCAGTCAATAAAGCTTAGGTACAGCGAATTTTTTACAATACGGGCAACTATTTTTTAAATATTTTATTTTTCGCAATTTTTTTTGTAAAAATATGGTTAATTCTACAACAAAAACCCCAAATTTCAAAGTTCCAATCATTGTGCAAAATTAAAGAAAATTCTGCAAAATTGCATTCAAATATTCCGCTTTTTATTTACGCTCTGTACAAAAAGTTGAGTATGCGATTTTTTAGCCCATTCAATTTTAGTATAACAAAGTGCAAGTTTGAGGTAGGTAGGACTTACCATTGATTTTTAGGAATTTGTTTTTTGTTGAAGGTGTCGCTCATATTCTCCATATAAAATAATGTTTGATAATTTTTGTATATGGAAAAAGTGTGCGACACCTTCGACAAAAACAAATTCCCAAAAATCAATGGTAAGTTCTAGCTTCCTCATACTTGCACTTTATTATACTAAAATTGAATAGGCTAAAAAACAGCATACTGAACTTTTTTCTAGTAAATAAAAAGTGCAATATTTGAATGAAATTTTGCAGAATTTTCTTTAATTTTGCACAAGGTTTGGAATTTTAAAATTTGGGGGCTTTGTTGTAGAATTAACCATATTTTTACAAAAAATTTGCGAAAAATAAAATATTTAAAAAATAGTTGCCCGTATTGTAAAAAATTCGCTGCACCTAAACTTTATTGACTGACTGTACATACATATGTATCTACATAAATGTAAATGGGTAGCTTTGATTCTCGTTTGCGTTAGTATTGTTATCTGGTAATCTGGAAATATAGAAAAGGTTATATAATTAAATTTTTTATTACAAAATCGCGGAAAATACAGTCTAAATATATATATATACAACCGAGCTGTGAAAATTGCAATTATTTTGTTTAGCAAGCAATTCTTGTTGTGAAAATTACAATTTACGTTAATTTGACAGAAATTGAATGCAATCAATTTAAATGTAAGCACTTCTGATTACAATCAGATCGAAATAAAATCACTGATTCACCAAATGTTTTTCGATTGCAATCCAATTTTAATGAAATTTTTTATCGAACTGGTTCAAAACAATAGAAAAAGGGATGCAGAACGAACTAGATCTCATCTGGCGAACTTTGAAACTACTGAAAAATGGATGCAGCGGGGGGCTTGTTTACTTTAAACAGATTTTTGCTTGGCGGATTTTTCGTTCAAATACGCTTTCAGTCTGTACGTCGCAGATGCGTTTTCATAGTTTGGTAATACAAAACTAATATTTGTGTTAACATCTTAACATTTTGGGACCTTCTGAAATATAGCCAATAACAGTCAGCACCTCTGCAAATTCGGCTACAGCCAAAGGTATCTAAACGTGTTTTCAAATGCACAATTTAATTTACATTCATTCAAACAAATTTGATTTTAGATTGAAAATACATTTCTCTGCAAATAATTAAAAATTGCTACCATGTAACCCAAAAAGAAAACATCTTGTTACTTGTTTCGTTTACAACTGGTTCGAAACTATAGAAAATGGGGTGCAAAGCGAACTAGATCCCAAATGTCGAATTTAGGACTGGTTCTGAACTATAGAAAAGGTAATGCAGCGGGGGCAATTTGCAATTCCTATGACATCGCTGTGTTAAATTCGCCAGTTGTTTGCATGTAAAAGAGATTTATCGCGAACTAGTAGTGATTCTAAATGTACTAGAAGCGCACCAGTTCAAAACTAGAGATTTTCCCCACAGGGATATGTATGTAAATATACATATCTGTGGTCACAAGCAATAACCGTCTAAGTCGACTTAAGGAAGAACGGAGTTATGTATGCTATCGTAATCTTCAACCATTATCCCATGCGTATGTGAAATCGACATCTCGCCAGCTAGGCTACTTAAAAAGCTATAAGCGAAAATATTTTTCTTTCCTCATAAGGCTAACATTACAATCCAAAAGTTTAAAACATTTTTTCTCGAATTCAGGTTTTTCGACTTAGGCGGTTATTGCTTATGACCACAGATATAATGAGCGACAAAATGATACGGTCATCTCAATATTAGCATATCATAAGGAAACGGGAATACTTTCTGTAGGGTAACCTTATTATTCAAATTCTACATCCAAATTAGTGAGAACACGTATAGTATACTTATTGCGGCAAACTACATCAAAAACAGTTTTTACCAAAATCAAAAAGTCAGGGTTTTGTGTTTTATGAAGAAATTTGCCAAAAAATTAAGAAAACGAAAAAAACAAGTTTTTTACACTTGTTCAAATTTTTCTTAACCCTTAATTAGGCGCATGGGGTCATTGCCATTTCAAGTTGAAAAAAATGTCTTGGAGCTCTTGGAGCGTGCTCGCGCTCTTTCTAGCTTCCTAACAGAGGGAACAAATTCTGATAGGATGCGACGCACATGCGAGACACACTATCTGGGGGAGTCCCATGATAAACAGCAGAGGTGAGTCTCTCTTACACTTTATATTAAATACTAACCTGAATATATGCAATAAAGGAGACAGTCCGACCTTTATATTTCTCAGCTCCGAAAGATTTGCGGGATGGGAAGAGGTACTGGACTTAACCCTAGCAACAGATGGTATTGTCGTCGATGACTGGAGAGTATCCAGTGAAACATCCATGTCGGATCATTGTTGGATACTCTTCAGCATTCGCGGAAAGCCCACTACCTCTTCCCTATTTCAGAATCCGAGAAGAACAATATGGTCAAAATTTATCAGGCTAACGTCAGGTAACCTAGACAGTAGTAAATCAAAGGAGATTAAAACTGCTGTAGAACTAGACAATACAGTAGATAAGCTGGAAGAAACTCTAGCCATATCTTTTAAAAAATCCACACCAGTAAGCGTCCTTAAGAAAAAATCCCCTCCATGGTGGACGGGGGAGCTTAGGGAGCACAGGTCACATCTCAGAAAAATCTTTAACGAGTGCTACAGAACAAAATTGTGGCAGCCATACAAAGATGAATTAAGGCAGTACAAAAAATTAGTAAAGAAAGCTAAAGAGTACTCTTGGCAGTCCTATTGCGCCAGACTAAGCAAAGTTTTATCCAAGGAACACACCAACCCCAACCTTATTAAGAGAAAGGACGTGCATGGACCAGGACAACGGAGGAATCACTAGAGACTATCATAAAAATACAGACTTTCCTGGCTGCGACAGGAGGCCAAAAACATGGCCTCATACAAATCGTCGGCAACTCTCAAACGAGTTACTCGATTCAATCGTAGACAAGGAAAAAATTTAGTTCGCTATAAATAAATTCTACCCATACAAATCCTCTGGCCCAGATGGCGTCATTCCGATAATGCTCCAGAAATTACAGGAGCCTATGGTATCCTGGCTGGAAAGGGTCTACAAAGCCAGTATCAGCGTGACATACATTACCAAAAGCTGCAAAAGAGTCAAAGTTGTCTTCATACCTAAACCGGGAAGAAGAAATCACGAAAAAGCAAAAGACTTCCGACCAATAAGTCTTATATCTTTCCTGCTAAAGGTACTGGAAAGACTTTTAGACCTACATATTAGGCTTTTTCTGGGAAATTCCAAACTTTCCAAAGCTCAACATGCATACATTAAGGGCAGATCTACTGAAACTGCCCTTCATGAAGTCGTGGGCACCATAGAAAAATCACTCCATTACAAGCAGTACACTTTGGCGGCATTCCTCGACATAACAGTCGAAGCAATTGTTCGATCTCTTATGAAGGTGATTCCCACCGGACCACATATTCGAGTGGATCGAACAAATGCTCAGAAACAGAATCATAATTTCAACCATTGGTTCAGTAACGCTATCCCGTTATGCAAATAGAGGCACTCCCCAAGGGGGAGTTCTGTCTCCGCTACTATGTGTGGTGGTACTGAACGACATTCTACTGGATCTCAACAAAGGTGGAGTGAAAGTAGTAGCATATGCAGATGATGTAGTGGTGGCGGTATCAGGTCTCTTCCCCTCAACGATTAGTGAAATCCTAGAGGGAGCTTTGCTCCGGCTAAACACCTGGGCTACAAAAAGTGAACTGATGCTGTTCACCAATAAAACAAAAATACCACAATTCAGGCTTCCCTCCCTTAATGGAACGTCTCTCACATTGTCCTCCGAGGCTAAATACTTGGGTGCCGTATTAGATACCAAGCTGAGCTGGAAGACAAATATAGAGGGCGGGTTGAGAGAGCCTACACAGCTTATTATACATGTAAAAGAATATTCAGTAGGAACTGGGGATTGAAGCCAAAGCTTGTCCTCTGGATGTACACGGCTATCATACGGGCAATACTAACGTATGCGGCGTTAGTTTGGTGGCCTGCACTAGATAAACAATAAAACGTCAGGAAATTAGGCATTATACAAAGAGCAGCTTGTGCAGG